GTTATGTTTGAATATGAAACTTGGACTTTAATTAACGTAGGTGCGTGTCATTCAAGGTTAGGTCGCGATTTAGATGCGATCAAGTTTCACCGCCAGGGGATGGATTTGTTTGAGAGAAAATACGAAAGCAAGGCAATGGAGCATTATGATTATGGTGCACTACTACACAACACAGGAGTGGCTCATTCGCATTTAGGAAATTACACCGAAGCTGAAAAATACTACCTGGATGCCCTCAAATCATTCAACGCTTCAAACAGACTGGGATTACAAAGGCCAGAAAGAGGAGGAGATATTGAAAACTGAAAAAGTGTTAAAGCGCTTACGCCTAGATTCTAAAAATGACTGAGTTTAAGTTCAATTCAGTGGAAATCCCGAAAGAGTGACTGTTTTTAAATGAAATGTAAAATTCATTTATTAGATTTTAGTATCGGCTTTGATCTAGTAGTTATGGCGTCGGTTCCTGACATCAAAAGTTCAAGCCTCATACACACCATCGAGAGGTCTAATGTAACAAAAAGGCTGAAAATGAATTCTTATAAAACATCAACGATCTGTATATAAGGGTGCCTGCTTATCCGGAGCCGTGTTCAGGGCGAAAGTATAAAACCTGGAAAGTAATTTAGCAATTTAAACTCAAACAAAACTGAGCTTTTTTGAACCCGGAAATACAAATCGGAATTCAGGGTGAATTACCCTGGCAAATCTAATAAATCTTTGTATGTAGATTTGACTTCTTACCCAGAGTCTTGTTCAGAGAGAAAGGGGAAAACATTATCAGAAAAAGAAATTCAGGCAATTTAAACTAAAAAAAAAAAAATTTACAAAGTTTATTACTGATTACTCTTAATACAAGAAAAATTTGAGTTTTTTTTTGAACAGGGTTCAGGATAAGTGATTACTGATTTATATAAAATTATTTTGCTGTAAATGAACGTAATTCTTTTATGTTTGTTCACGCAGGATTTTCTCACTTTTGTTTTGATTCAGAAAAGCCTTTACGCAAACAATATTAGGTAATAAAGCTTTTTTATAGATGTGTCTAGAGTAAATTCAGTTCTTTATATTTTAAAGTATTTTTCACTTTTCAGTGTTTTCTCTTTCCATGCAAATATACTTAAATGTAGCTTAGACGTTCAATTTTTTTTATTCCATTTTCGTTTTATAGACGTGTCCAGAGTAAATATTCAGGTATTAATATTTTAGATCATTTTCCTCTTTTTAGAGTTTTCTCTTTTCATTCAAATATATTCAGTTTTTCGTGTTATCAATACCTAATATTTTTTCTTACAAGATTAGATGGTAAACGCCAATTGGTTAGCGTCAAAAATAAGAATAATAAATATATTGTGAAAACGGCGCTCCAGAAGTGTGTGTACCAACATGGAGGTAACTCATTTTGTTCGCCTACTTTACATCAAGTTGTGTGAAAGGGCTGAACTATGGACAGAGAATATTCAATTGGCTAACGCAGACAGTCCCCGAACTCGCAATAGAAATAAAATGAGGAAAATAAGAATAAAATATGGCTTAGCCCTAACCTAGTACACACACAATGAGAGTATTGTAAAACACCGTGTGACTGGAAATAACATGTTAAGGTCAGGAAACTACGGAGAAAGGGTCATTTCATTTGGACGGAAAGTGTTCAAGTGAAATAGCATAAAAAAATGATTTTTCTCATAGAATTGTGCCCCCTACATTTGCTTTGTGGACCCTTTAGAGCAGGGGTCGGCAACCTACGGCCAGCGGGCCGGATCCTGCCCGCGGAGCACTACAATCCCGCCCGCGACGCTTTACTAAATTATAAGAACAAAACATTCATTTTGACGAATATATTTTTTAGACTAAATTATATAATAAACTAACAATTATATATTTAACAATTACTCGTTTAATGAGCATATAATTTAATTATGAATAAGAAAATGGCAACAAAACGCAGAAAAGTTGATGCTAAGGGGAAAGGGTTCAATGGCGCTGAAAATATTCAGATGGAATTTTATGAGATGCAATGAGAAATAAATCTATATTTTATTCGAGACATGTATCACTGCTTGATTTTCATTATAAAAAGTACCATCCGTTCGGTTTTTCAACTTTTTAAAAATATGTGCGGCCCGCCAATGACTTGCAACTTTAATTTTGGCCCGCGAGCGACAAAAGGTTGCCGACCCCTGCTTTGGAGGCTCACGGGACCCCTGCTGTTGAGCCGTGGATTTACCTATGTCGGCAACTTAGGTTAACCTAAATTTCCTGTTTTTGAAAGTGCATTGGTAAGTTGAAAACATATTCCGGTGAACGAGTGCATCGAGACAATAATGAGAATATGAATGTTTAGATATGTGAACATAAAATTAATCTTGAAAATTAATTTTGTAATTGAAATACATATTGCATTTAGAGTTGAGTTGTGCGATGCATAAAAATAATTCATGATTAAAATAACTATATAATGAAACTATCAAGCAAGCATGTCGAGTAGCCGTCACAATATGCAATTTGCAATTTTGTCTGTCAACACGTGATTTGTTATTTATAAATGGGTGACCTATGACGCTGTGAGTTGTAACTGATATGTCAATTTACAAGGAAAACCACGAGCTCAAACTGAAGGTGTTTTAGAGCACGAATTGCGATTTCAGAATCTGCACAAACTTCTTCTTCAATTGGGACATGAGGAATAAGTTGAATGAGTGGGACAGGTGTGACAAGTGGTGAAAGTAGGACAGGCTAGAAAAGTAGAACAAGGGGCACAAGCGAAAAAAGCGGGGCAAGTGGAACAAGTGAGAGAAGTGGGACAAGTTGGACAGGTGGAACAAGTGGAGCAAGTGGGACAAGTGGAACCAGGTGGACAATTAAAACGCATAAAATAACATTCAACAATTTTATGACTTTTAATATTGTTAGTAGACTCAATTACGGATCAATCCGTCTTTCACAACTCTTATGGACATATTTATTGTAAAAACCTTTTTTTGTTAGTTCGTTCAACAAATAAAACAACCCTTTAGGCATGATTTAAAGTGAAGCGATTAGAATATTAAGAACAATTTATGACGTTTTTCTGTGTATATACTTTTCATACGAAAATTACACTTATTTTCAAAGTATGCTATTTATATTGTCAATATCATACATACCTATTTGACAGTTTCAAATGGCATTGACACGCGATGTTTGTCTTGTAATTTTGTGCCAATGTAACATCGTATTCGATATTTTACATATCCGGAAATTCACTAATAATTGTTTGTTATATGTCTACCTAATTACCATGTAATATTAAAGATTTGGCAGCGAAAATATCCAAATTAGTTGAGCTAGTTTGGTTGATAAATAGCTAAACAGTTCAGAATTCTGTTCTCGTTTCTACTCGCGAGGATGGGGACAAGCATGACTTAGAGTTAACGAGGCAAATGCCGCAAACATAATCCCTCCACGCAAAAAATAATTTTAACAACATCGGAATGATAAACATTGGCATAAGTGCTCCCGGGAAGGCGCCCACGATCCATAAATAGCTAGGAACCACTGCCATAGAGAATGCAAACTGAGCATAAGACTTGGCCAATGGCCTCTGCTATCGATATTGTACCAATGTTCGCAGTTAAGTATTTCCTCTATTTTCTTTCGATGGAAGTCATCTTCTCTTTCATGGCGTTGCAATAATTGTACAATTGGCGGAAACAATGACGTGCTAGCACTATAAATAATATTCTGTAAAATAGGTTACAAATAACGGTTATTAAATATAGTGTGAAGCGAGATTCATTTGTAGTTGGTCAATTATAACACTGTGAAAGCACTAAGGTACATGAGGCGTTAGAGCGTTGGCATATATATATCGAATAATAACATGTAATTTAAAATACAGGTGAATTTTGAATATTCTGGCATCCAAGATTGACGGATATTACGCATAGATACGCGTTTACCAATTAATTATAGCCTTTGCATGCAGACAGGAAAGTAGAACAACGTATTATGCAGGATAAATATACTCTAGCAATAGTATAACCTAGGGCAGGGGTTCTCAAACTTTTGGTGTTGTGGAGCCCGTGAAGAGATTGACTATTATCACGATGAGAACAACATATTATCCAGGATACATATAATATAGTGATAGTTGAACATAAGGTGCCTGGGGCCTCGTCTAGCCTAATGGGCCATGAGCAGTTCTGGTGGGAAAAACTAGGGTTTCTAAAATTGGACAGCTGCCATGGGCGGCTACGGATCGGTCACAGAGGTCGCAAGCAAAGGGTTTCACTCGATACTATTTTCGATGGCGACCTTGATTTAAAGCAAATTGTCTGCGATTCGTTCAATGTTTTGAATGTATCGTATTTATTCATTTTCTTTCGTTTGTTTTGTTTTTATTTATACTGATTACGTGGAATCATTATAGCATGATTTGAATTAGAGATGAACCGACACTACTTTTGTCGCCGATACCGATACTAATCCGATAACAACGGAAACACGCCGATACCAATATGCCAAAATTGCCGATATACGATTCTGATATTTGAATTTGGTGCGTGAAATAAAGGATAAAAACTTGAAATCTAGGTGTTTTTTTATATAAAAGATCAGGGGCAACCAGCGCTGATAGACTTTCGAAGGATCATGACATATTGAAAACTATTTGTCAAGAGTAACTTGATAACGGCGATGTCAATTTTTTGTTCTCAAATCCGGAGTTAAAATTTTGTTTCATCCGGAGTCAGGAGTTGAAACCGGAAATCACTTACTTGATCCGGATCTAATCAGAACTTTTTCTCCCATAGGAAGACTTTCTGTAATTCCCTCCCATCCGTTTTTTTCCTAACAGTATTAACTCGATATAGATCAAGCTTAGATATAACTGTTATTCACTTAGATCTCTTTAGCATTGATATACCTATAAATATACGAACTCTTCAGTATCTACTTTCCACTTTTGTTGAAGACTCGGAACCTAGCTTGAAGTATACCTTGTTGAAAAATCTTCATCATAAATGGCTTACAAACAAGAAAAACAAAAACGAACATCTGGGACTAAAAATAGGTATGAGTAGGAATTTTAGTAATTTATTTATTGCAATATAATTCCAGTGAAAATCAAAGTTACTTCAAAAATCTGTGATTTGAATAACCTTGAAAAACAAGAGAGTGATGCTCAAATATATGAACACGAAAGCCGAAACAAATTAGTATCAAATCTTTACAATACCGGTAATCTTTCTCATTGAAAACTATCGACTTAGACGAGCACGAGATCGCTAAAAAATGTATTCTTGAAACCCAACACGAAGCGCAATTTTTGATACTACTGTAGTGTGTGAACCAGGTTAGGGTTGAGCCATGATTTAATTTCGAATTTCCTTATTTTAGTTCTATTACTAATTCGATGTTAAATATTTTACTCGACAATTTTGACGGAGTACGCTCCCCATCGCAGACACGGCATTGTTACGCACACAATCGTCTTGGGATCCCCAAAAACAGAAACAGTATCTTGATAGGTAGATTCCTAGTCCCATTACGATCAAACAACTCAACAAAGTGAAAACACCTTGTGAAATAACCTTATCACGCCATGAAACTAGGAAGAACGATATATTTTCTTGTAAAGAGAAATTAATTCTGCGTTCAACCAGAATCATTCGGAGTATGAAGACCCAAGTCAGTTGAAAGACAAAGCAAGTAATTCTAAACCAGACGATCAGAACAGACAAGCCCATAATGCCCCAGGTTTGTGAATGTAAAGAAAATGTGCTGCGGAGTTTGCCTCAAAACAGGACTAGGAATTGACATTTTGAATCCAATCGAATAATAACCTATTCGCATCGGCTCACAAAAATATTTTGAATCGCCGCCATCTTGTTTCATTTTGTTCACCAATGATCGAGGTGAACTTTTTTCTTTGAAGTTATATTTTAAAAATATTATTTGACATCGATGAAGTAAATTTTCTTACTGTGTGTGAAAACTCAGCAAACTGCTTCAGTGATGCATTATAGGCATTAAAAATTATGAAAACGAATAACAGGTCGAATTCCTGTCCCGAACCAAACTTGTTTCTGATTTATATTATCTTATGTTATACATTGATTCTATACCCAGATATTGAAAAAATTGAATTATTTTACATTCAGAAAAAAGAAGCGATTACGAAGACAGAGATTTCAGTACAATTAACATTGCGCAGCTTACTTCGTATGAAGACTTCTCTCCTGATAGAAGAACCACAAGCTCAGAAGGTAAAAGTAAGAATGCAGACTCGAATCGATCCCATGTCATTCGATTATCCGACTGCCAATTCCATATTGGAAATATTCTAACACTTTACCAGATTTGACTTACTTTTGAAAAAATTGACTCCGGCTCTACCTCTAAACTACAGAATAACAATACAGTATTACCCAGTGGCACTATCTGGGAATTAATTCCGGATACAAACTCCGGTTCAAAAAATTGAGTCCGGATATATTTTCTATCTAATTAGCATATTTGAACTCCTTATATTTAATGTTGAATCCAAAATTATTTTCAAAAAATGACTTCACCTCTCTAGATCCCTGGTTTATAAACTGGGTTCCGCGACATCCTAGAGTTTGGCCACAGTACGATATGGGGGTTACACAAATTACTATTTTATTCTGCCGCACCAAAAAAGTTGAAACCCTTGATATATAGAGATACTGAAATAAATCATTCTACATTCAGAAATAAGAAACGATTACGAAGACAGATATTTCAGTACAATTAACATTGCGCAGCTTACTTCGTACGAAGACTTCTCTCCGGATAGAAGAAGCACAAGCTCAGAATTTAAAAGTAGGAATGTAAAATCGAAAATCGATTTGACTCCATTCGATTATCCAACTCCCGACTCTATATTAGAAAAATACTGACCCCTGACCGGATTTGACTGACTCTAAAAAATTGACTCCGGCTCTACCTCAAGATTTTATAACTCCAACCTATCTCAATGACGCTATCTAAAATCCGATTCCGAATTCAAAGTCCGGTTCAAAAAATTAACTCCGGATATATTTTTTTATCAGATTAAGAATATTTAAACTCTTTATACTTAACCCCGGTTCCCGATCTTGACATTCCTCGGTTATCTTTTAACTTACGTATAAAGGGCATCATTACCAGAAACTCGCCTTGTCATCAGAAAATTTTGACACGTTCCTTGGGGAAAAGTTTTGGAAAAAATTACTTAAGCGATCAAATCCTAAAAAGTTGGCTTAGTTTCTCTTAGCCAAATCACAAAATATTTTACAAGGTTGTGTGACATTTTACATGAACTTCATCTAAAATATACCGACCTAATACCCAACTAAGCTCACGCGCGGTTTATTTTTAACAGGTTTGCGTGAAGTCGATAGAATATTATTCGAGCGGATGACAATCTTAGAAAAGAGAATGAAAACATTGGAAAATCGTCAGGATGCAGCAGAAAGAGTGTGAGTAGCCATTTTGTAATTTTAACAACCTACCAGCATTTAGAACAGTGATTCTCGAAGATGTTAAGCCTTGTCAACATTTTTGAATTTGTCAAGTCTCGCGCCCCACCTTAAAAAAAACTACAAATAACACTTTGTAAGTCGAAAGCATGTTTTTTTTAAAATACAATAAAGAACGTTGAAAATGATGGATGGAACGTAAATAATAAAACAAATGAATTGTAAATATCCAACATAAGGCGGGCAAGATCAATTCTAACAAATATTTTTATTTTTAATAAGTTTACGCTTCTATTAATTGTCTACGCCCGCCTCATGGTGAACCATTGATTTCGATTGCTAATTATGAATCAAAAAATAATCGAAATCAGATAGAGAGCTGAATAACTCAACGCCAGATTCCTCCCTAAGATAATCAACAAATAACTATAGCGTTTGTGAAACTTACGATACTTTCAATAGAAAAACTCTGCGAGAATATTTGGATTGAAAATGGGACAAGAAGTCCATAAATTTGACTCCGGCTCCGGTTTTTTCATAATTAAGACTCCGGATTCAACTTCGATTCTCAAACTCCGCTCACCTCGCATCTACCAATTGCAAATCTTGCACCACTTGCTGTCTAGGGGTAAAAATACACTTTCCCGTACCGGGCTGATCACCTTATGTGACTTTGCTTTGGTTCAAAACCCAAGCTAGATAAATATACGCGAGTGTATTGCTAAATGCTTTAAATTCACGACTTAGCTATTACTATATCCATACTTGTATTCGAGCAATAATATAATTGAATTTTCTGAACAATTTTTCAATCTTTGCATTACAAATATATTTTGAATCTTTAGAAACTCAGAAGCAAAGACCTCAAAGCCCACGAAAGAAGATTCGAAAGAAAAAGGTGAATGACTTCTGATCTTTGACCTATTACCTTTGAACTTTGAATGATATTCTCTGATGGACTTGATGATGTCCCTCAAACATCCAAAATATAGTTTTTGGTTGAAGCAGTTCCTCTAGAGCAGGGGGTTCTCAAACTGTGGTCCGCGGACTGCACAGGTGGTGCGCGAAGATATGAAAATAGCCTGATCGATGTTTAATGATTGATTTTAATCAAAAAGCCATTGCATTTTTTTGGTTGGGCATGAAGGAAGAATATTCATTGCTGTCAGAAAATGCAATTAAAATGGTTAGACACAGAAATTAAAACGGCATAGCTGGATGTCCGTCAAAATAAAATTCAAAAACAGGTGTCAGCTGCCCAAAAAGTTTGCGAAACCCTGCTTTAGAGAAATTTTTTCCATTCGTCTATTTTGGGACTCTTTATTCCTTCCTCAGTAAACATGAAAAGTGCTTTTAATATTGTAATCTTTAATAGAGCCTCAGCCAGAGTTATGCGCAAGCCTCATTCCCGCTTTTGTATAGTTCAAGTAGTTTATAATGTATGTATAAATAAGTATTATGGTGCTAATAAGAAGTATTAACACTGAAAAAGCAAATACAAAGCAAAAATTCTCTCTAAGAACACCAAAATTTCTCTAAGGAGAATGATTTCTTTCTTTGATAGAAAACGTGGTTCGAAAGAGTTTTATTTGTTTTAGTTTCAAACAACATTCAAAACTAAAAATCATTAATACGTACAGGATATGGGTTTGGAGCCAACGAATATGGGGATTGAAAACGAGTTCTCTGACTTTCCATTTACAAGAATACATTGGATTTCATTTCTAAACGACGAACTTTTTGTTATAGAAACACCAATACCAGACGCTATAAAACCGATTAAGAGAAAAGAACGTACTCTGCAATCGTTACTGGATGAGCTTCACAACTGTTTCATGGCAGGAAGAAAATCAGAAGCAAATTTTTGTTTGAGCGAGATCGAGAAATTGATGACGTCATCAAATGGACACAAAGCAGCCGAGGTAACAAAAATGGCGGATAAATACATTGATAACTCATCCTATATCAAAGCTGCTATTTTGGTTTCTTGGGCGGCTGAGCTGCATGTTACGGACTCCGACCCTGATAAGGCTGCACAGGAAATCGCCGATTGCGCTTACAAGTATGGTCAAGTCATCGAACATATGATTGATATCGGAGGAAAAATGCACACAATAGCCAAAGACTTTGGTGTGGATATCATTCTAAAAATGCTTGGAAATCTACGAAGCATCACAGCAGCCGATGCCGAGGTTATGTTTAAATATGAAACCTGGACTTTAAGTAGCGTGGGTGTGTGTCATTTAAGGTTAGGTCGCGAGTCAGATGCGAATAAGTTTCACCGCCAGGTGATGGATTTGTTTGAGCAAAAATACAAAAGCATGGCAATGGAGCACTATTATTATGGTACACTACTAAACAACACAGGAGTGGCTCATTGGAATTTAGGAAATTGCGCCGAAGCCAAAAAATACTTCCTGGATGCCCTCAAATCATACAACGCTTCAAACGACTGGGAATACGAAGGCAAGAAAAAGGAGGTAATAACAAACGCTAAAGAAATGTTGAAGCGCTTACGCCTGCGTTCTAAAGATGAATGAATTTTAATTCAATTCCGGGGAAATCCCGACACAGTGACTGTTTTCAAATGAAATGAAAATTTCAAAACTATTAACTAACTATCTATTATATTTGTATTCCGAGATCACGATATTTGTTGAACCAGAAAATACAAGCCGGAATTGATGCTAAACTCTAAGGTTGATCATTTGATTGTCTTGGCAAAGCCCGCAAACCAAATTAGAATGTTATAATCATGTATAATAATCCTTTTGATTAACTGTTCAAGATGAAAAGTACACTTTAAATTACACTATCTGCTTTAGGCTTGAACCTGGGACGTGCAATCTGCAATGCCATCATAGTCTGGCGCTAGGCCAGGGGTGTGCTACTTGCTTCGCCTTTCAACTGACTTGGGTCTTCATACTCCGAATATGGTGTGGACCTTGAATCAAAAATATTACATTATAAGAATGGTTTTTACTCGGGATTCCGCTGTACGCAATGGTTCTGAAAATACCGTCTAAAGGTTCCGCTACTTTCCATTCGATAGTTTATATCAGGGGTGTGCAAACTTCAATACAGAAGGTTCAGATACAAATAACTGGGTGAAACCGCGGGCCACATCTGCATTTAACATAAGCTTTTTAGTATTTCACGCGCAAAAATTTTGGTTATTGATTTTATGACATGCGTTGTTCGCCTCGCACAAGTACAGGTATAACCTTTGCACCGCAAAGAAATTGAATTAATCACCCGTACTAAATAAAACTAAATTAAAAACTCGTTCCGATGGCCGCACATCATTCAAAATTAGCACTTCTTTGCAGACAAACAATTTTTTCTCGTTGACCGCATTTGGTCCGCAGCCGCGGTTTGCACACTACTGGCCTAGGTCATTGATCTGATGTGAACATCAACTATGTTTGCATTAGATGTTACTCAGATTTGAATCCTTCAAGTGTTACCAGCTTCTCACACATGGGTAACATAAATGGCCAATAAATATATTGATAAAGTCTATATAAAAGCTCCTATTTTGCTTTCTTGGGCGACTGAGCCGCATGTTACGTACTCCGACCTAGATACGGCTGCATATGAAATTGCCGAGTGTGCTCGCAAATATGTTAAAGTTTTCAAACATATTAAGGATCTCGGTGGAAAAATGAACCTTGGTATGCAACACCTTGGTGTGGATATCATTCTAAAAATTCTTAGAAATCTGCGAAGCATCACATCAGCCGATACCGAGGTTATGTTTGAATATGAAACTTGGACTCATATTTTAGAGTTTTTTCTCTTTTTATTGTATTCACTTTTCATGCAAATGTATTTAACTGTAGCGTAGCCGTGGACGATAAATTTCCTATTTTATTTAATAATCTTGCAGTATTTATACCAAGATGGCGGACACGAGAACGTAATGTGTACCAGGTTAGGGTTAGGCCATAATTTTAGGTACAAATACTACGGGAGTCACTTGGCTAGTCCCCGAACTCACAATAGAACAAAAGAAGGAAAAAATAAAATTATGGTACACATACCACGTTCCGGTGTCCACCATCTTGATTCACATACTACAGGAGCGCCTTTTATTTTCGTTTCATAGACGTGTCCAGAGTGAATATTCATTTCTTTATATTTTTGAGTATTTTTCTTTTTTCAATGATTTCTCAATTTTTTTTATTTTATTTTGGTTTTATAGACGTGTCTAGAGTAAATATTCAGTTATTTATATTTTTCTCTTTTCATAGTTTTTTTTTCATGCAAATATATTCAGTTTTTCGTGTTATCAAGACCTAATATTTTTTCTTTCAAGAACTTCTGAGATTAGATGGTAAACCACATTAGTAGGCCTTTTACATCATGAGATACCAGTGGCTTGACGGTAAATTTCTTATTCTATTTTCGTTTTATAGACGCGTGAGTTTTATCATGCAAATATATTCAGTTTTTGATGGCGAAGGCCAAATGATTAGCTCTGCATCGAACTATATTGGCGTCTTGGATTAAATACGATGTGATCAACATCCACATTTGATCATTGTAATAAGCTGATAGCCCTTTTGTGTAGCAGAAAAAGAGTGAATTGCTCAGAATGAACACCAATTTTTCAAAAAGGTAGTAGTTCTACAGATATCAGTGGTTGGTTGTCTATTGCCTTTTTCGGGTAAAAGAGTGTAAACCCAAAAAAATAAGTGCTGGCGGACGGACGGACAGACAGACAAACGTAAAGGCGGACAGGAGGAAGAACAGCCAGGCAGTCGGATAAATAAAAAGACAGACTGGCGAATGGACAGGGGGTTGGACGGACATACATAAATACAGACAGACAGACAGACAGACAGACAGACAGACAGACAGACAGACAGACGGTTGTTCTAACTATAATAGCGTTTTGGATTAAATCCTATATGATCTACGGCAGGGGTGGCCAACCTATGGCGCATGCGCCAAACGTGGCGCATTGCATGATTAGAGGTGGCGCATTGCATCTTTAACCCTTTTCATGCCAAAATTGTTAATTGCACTCGGCTTCTCCACGCCAAGCCGTTTTTTTGCGATTTACATGGTGACTTTTGATTGTACCTAAAATCTATTCTCCTTACTCCACGTCGCCCATTTACGGCTTGTTTGAATTAGAAACAACAGGCAATTATCGACGTTAGCTTTTGGACGGACCTTATGACATTCATTCTAGACTTTTAGCAAAAATTAGTAAAATTTACTATATTTTCCCTATTGAAGTAAAATGTTCAGAACTTCTGGAAAAATAGAAAATCGTCATTTATCAGCTTGAAACATGGATTTTCCATTGCCCAGACTTCCCAAATATCTCCCAATAACCATTGAACAACCAGTTGAATTGCCCAAGCCTAAAAAATTTATTATAAATCAACCCACAACATGCTGAAAATGACCCCTAAATATCACTTTTTTCATCCAAACTTCAAATGACCGTTGTCAACAAAAGCGAAGCGTAAAATCGCTTGCTGTGACGCAAGTACTAACTAATCTCGAAGAAGCCTGGAGTAAAATCACGCGACGCTAGGCCAAACAGCTGATTAGCAAAAGCCAATTAGAATCGAGGGTAGAGTAGAGTAGATATTGATACTAAAGTCCTGTTGTCACAATATTACGCCTAACTTTACTTATTAATCGTACCTTTTTATTTCCAAGCTTAGTGAATGGCATTATCGCATTCAAGATGATGTTGAAACTTTTCGTTTCCCAGTTTTCCTCACATAAAAGAACACCGTGAATGTGCTGCTGGTAATGGCAATTTGGCAATATACACAGAAAAAAATCAAGTTATTGCAAGAGTCATTTGAAAGTCGTTTTCATGATATTTCAAAAGAAGAAGACTCTATACTCGCTTTTATAAACCCATTTTCACTTAGTGAACTAACCATAATGAAGACGCCAAGCATTATACAATTTGAACTAATTGACTTGAAAACTCATCCATCATTGATAATTAAATTTGATGAGCTTTCTTCAGTCCCAAATGCATCTGACATGATCAAGTTCTAGCAATCGTTACCCCGTGAAAATTTTCCAGATCTGAGAAAATTTGCCCAGGGTTTTATATGTCGTTTCGGAACGACATATAGATGTGAACAAACATTTTCTGCCATGAAACTAATTAAAAGCAAAGCGAGGTCAAGACTTACAGATTTAAATTTGAAGAATGCACTGCTCCTCTCAGTAACAAACTTAACTCCAAGAATAAAAAAACTGGCGAAAGTAAAACAGCAGCAAAAGTCTCATAAAGGCGGTACCTAAATAAAATTGATCAGTTTTATGTATTATACTTCCTCGCTTAATTTCTATTCATGTGAAGTTGTAAATTGTAAAAACTACATATACGTGTGTATATATGTGTGTGTATTATAAATTTATATAATTTCAACAAGAAGTGGACATTAGGCGTGGGAATACAAGAGATTCAAGGCGCATCCGAAACATTATGTTTAAAACGTGTCGCATGGTATGTGAAAGGTTGGCCACCCCTGATCTACGGCCACATTTAATCGTGTAATAAGCCTTTTAGCGTAGCAGGAAAAAGTGTGAATTTCTTGCTCGCAAAATTTACTCTTTATTAAGACAGCAACCTAGTAAAATTGATTTAGTATTTCCCATAATAAATGATATTTAGTCGATTCAAAATGATTGTGTTTTTCTGAACTTGAGGTGGGGTCTTATCCGGAGGAGGGGGGGGGGGGGGGGTTGGGGGTGATGATCGGGCGGTATATCTATGGTGGACTCCCCGCGTCCGCTACATCACCCTGGAATTTGATAAAGTGTGTAGCAAATACAGACAGAAAAAAATCACGATTTTTAAAAATCGTATTAGTCATAGCAAACGCTCTATTTCAGTACATGTTTATCCTCCTTCTTTGCAAATCTTGGTGTTAAGTTGCTTTTCGGTCAGAACCGTGACATGGCGCTGTAGAGCTGATATAGATCACAACAATAAAAATTGTTTCTTTTCAAAAATGTGCGTTGGTAGGGCGTGACCAGGTTAGCGAAGTTCTTAAAAAATCATTTGTGATTTTTTCAATTACATGGTCTTTTGAACTTCACTACATTGTTGTTTTGTTGAATTTCTCAAGCTATAGTTCAATAAGGCAACAATTCTTATTATTATACATAAAATGAGCGACCCAGAAGTGTGTGTACTTATATGGAGGTAACTAATTTTGTTCGCCCACGTTACATAAAGTTATACAAAGGAACTAAAACCTATTGGTAGGGGGTATATTCAATTGGCTAACTCAATCTAAAATAAAGAAAATCGGGATAAAATATTGGCCTAACTCTAATGTGTTACACATACTACGAGAGTACCCATGAAATAATCATATATGATACCTACTATAAGTGATTTAAAAGTCTTTCTGCACACTATCATACTTCTGTGACGTTCCATGAGACTAAAGTAAGGCTTAATAATAAGACTTTTGAAAAATAGCCACTGCCACACATTTTTGGAAACATATTGTTTCCAGTATTTTATGATGGTTCACACGCCATCACTCGGAAAAATACTCTGTAGAAATGAAGAAGCAAATGATTTGGCATACTTGTGTTCAGTAATTTCCATACACTCTCAAGAGGAGTATACCTCGACTAAAATATTTCAAACACACAATTTTTTTTAGAATAGACGTAAACAATGACTTAAACAAAAGACGTAAACAATGACGTTCAGGCACTATAAATAATATTCAGTAAAATTTCCTTACACCCTCCAGAAGTGAACACATTGCCTAAAAATTTCATACACCTTCCTAATTTTGAGTGGGAAACCGCACTTTCATTCCCAACGTAAATGAAATTGTATTTGAATATCTAGAAAAGGGGTTCTCAAACATTTTTAGCCTCGCACCTTTTAAGAAGTCCCATCCCAAAAATAACTACCTCACAATTAACTACAAACAACATACAGTAAGGCGAAAGTATGTTTTTTTTAAAAAAACTTTGAAAATACGTGGTGGAACCTGAATATTAAATATATAACAAATGTAAATATTCCAAATAAGGCGGGCAAAATCAAATCTAAGATATATTTTTATTTTTAATTAACTTAACGCTCCCTTGAAAAATTGTCGATACCCCTTGTGAGGGGCCCCACTGTTTGAGAACAACTGACAAGTTACAAAATAGTTTTAACGCCAATAACAAAATATCTACCAGCCTCTGAAATATGGAAACACCCCCTTAAATAGAAAGTTGAGACTTGTGTGTGGCTTCTCTTCAACCAAAGAGTTAAATACCGATTCCATATGATTAGAGATAGAGGAATGTGCGTTTGGCTTTAAAATGGGAGTTGGAAGGGCGTAGTCAGATTATATAAATTCTCAGAAAGTCAGTCACTTGTGATAAATAACTAATTACATTGAAATTGAAATTCCAATATAATTTTTGTAATAAAGCAACGAAGAATCGTTTTTTGAACGTAAAAATAATCGTATCAGATTTCCCGATAATATGTTAATGGCAAGTCACGAATTGGCATTTTTTATTATTATTTGCAAACAATAACTATTGTTGACGTCATTATCGTAACTAAATTTCTCGACATTAGATTCATCTTCAAATTATAAATTTGAAAATAAAATTCAAATGGTTGTTTACCGAACTGTGGCCAACCGTTAAATTAAATTACACATTGTCATTAAACCGGTAAATATCTGTGGTACCGGTAATATTCTTC